ATTTTATTGAACTGTTGTATAAGAGTAATAATCACACAATCATGCTGCCTCCATGTTACTCGAATAACTTCCCAGAAACAGCCCAAACTGTCATAGCTTGTTAATGTGACTTTTTCAAATTAGTGATACTCTTTTAAACTAGCAATGGTAGATCCTGTGGTGTAAGAAAGTAGTTCCATACACATTAGGGTTTTTTGGACCCTCCCTGGTTTTTCCTTAATTATTTACACTTTTCTGTTGAACTATTACAAAAGCAATATTAAATTGCTTTGTGTGATCTACCTAATAATTATTAAATTAATATTTAAAGGGATAGTTTTCCCCCCAAAAAATTACATTTAATAATTTACCATGGCTGTTGTTAGGGTTTCGGGGGCCCTGGTACTGTTTATAGTATAGGGCCCCCTTTGGCTGGGGGCCCCTAGAATAGTCACCACTCTTCACCCCACTAGCAGCTCTGTCAATTACTCACCCTCATGTCATTCAAAACCTGTAAAATGTTCTTTCATCTTCAAAACACTAATGAATATATTTTATGAAAACCGGAGTGGTCTTCAAAAGGTTCCAGAAGTTCAGAAAGACATCGCAAAAGTAATCCATATGAATCAAGTCTTCTGAAGAGAAATGATCGCTTTATATGATGAACATTTTATTTAGGCTTTTATTCACATATAAACATTGCTCAATGCACAAACAGAGCACATCAGATATGTTAAAGGGGTCATATGATGTTGCTAAAAAGAACATTATTTATAGATAGATAGATAAAGATTTTTTTGGGTTGAAATAACCTTTTAAGTTATCATTTGTCATTTCTTTCAACCAGTTTCTCTAGCTAGTGGAGTGCCACGACCTGCAGAGTTCAGTTCCAACCCTAATTTTATCCAGCTAATCAATACAGAGTTCTGGCATGAAACTCTAGAAGGCGCAGTCCGATAGGTCAAACACAATCTGACCTAATGACATCATTATTACATGGCACAGCTGATTGGTTCTCTCCTGTATTGGTAGGTCATCTCCAGGAATGGAAGTGAATAACCCTCCTCCAATATCTAAGGTAAGTTTTTTTCTATATTTCAAATGTAGAACTCTATACATATACAGTATGTTGAATTCCAACTCAAAGCTAAAATCTTGACAATATCACAAACATGTCACTACATGCAATGAGGGAGCATGTGAAAGGTATTTCAACATTTGTGCTATTCTACGATAATATCTAGCCACACATTTGTAAAATTCAGCATTTACACTATACATAAGCAAGTTTATTTCTTCAAGCTGCACCCGAGCACATGTAATGTTCCCTTGCAAACCTTATGCCTCCCTAATGCAAACTGGTCTTTGTGTGCTGCTCAGCGGTGGTGGTGAAATGAGGTGCGATTTCAAGTTTGACATGAGGCTCTTGGCCTTTGAAGTCTAAAGTACAAGAAGATGACTTTTATTATACCGATGCTGTCATCTGTCAACAACCATATATTGAAAGATGAGCAGCGTATCTCTCAGTCGTGCTGACCTGCACAATTTAACAGTTTTCCATTAGAGATAGGACCTTTGGACAGACCAATATCTCAGGCCTTCTAAAATAACACCGATGGCCGTAACAGAGGGACCGGGGTCAGAGCGAGAATGGCAGCTGCAAAGATCTGGAGTCCCCTGAAAGTGATGGGCATGCTCACTATTGACGTTCTTCAATGCATTGTTCCAAACAAAACGGTTCATGTGGGTATTGTCTTTCCCTATGAAGCTGCACTTGTGCTACAAGCCGTCGGAATGCGAGAATGCTGATGCTCTCGAAGGTCCCTGTCAAGATCGACCTGTCTGTCATTGTTGCTTGTAAAAATAACCACATCATTCTTCAGAAAGCAGCTGCCTACACGACTGCAAGGCGACAATCAACCAAGACAAGGAGGAACAAAATGGAGCAGCTCCCTGATTACTGATGGCTGCTGCCTGATAACAGACAGCTTTGCGTAATGTGTTAATGAACGTCTGCAGTCTTGTAGCCTAATCAATAACCCCTGCAAGTACTACAAAGAGCCACTGCACTGATTATTTGTATGGCAAAATGAGTTATAAAAGGAAACAGAGATAATAAGCTACTTATGAGGAATTAGTCAAGAGAAATTAAGCATCTGAAGACTTCTTAGCTTATCTGTTTCACCACTGCATCTTGATTGAGATGAATATTCAGACACTAACAAAAAAAGTACAGCAGCAGTACCTTTTAAAAAAAATACAAATAAAAAGATACAATGGAAAAAGAAGAAAAAAAATGATACTGTTATGGATAAATGGATGTAAATTGTCTTTACCTGCAGACAGTACAGAGTCGTTCACAAGCTGCACACACTATAAAGAGCTGTTTCATTGCTGACAAAACATAGAAGACATTTGGAAGTTTTGTTTCCTACAATGAATTGTAGGCAAATTTCCAGCTAATCCAGTGCTCTTTTTGTTTTCCGTTTTATAAAGTATATCGTTACCAGGGATGGGCAGCATTTCAGATACTGTGTTTCAGATGTGTGTTTCGTTGCGAAAGCAAAAATACTTTGTTTGGCCTGTACAGTATGTGGAAAATAATGTGGGTTTTTTTTAACCTTAAACCACATAAACACATTTCATTACACCAAATACACAAAATAATGTTCTTTTTAGCAACATCGTATGACCCCTTTAAAATACGTACTATTTTGCATTTTAAAAGCCTTTGGCAAAATCAAATGTAATTTGTATTTAAATACATGCAAGATTAGTATTTTTGTATTTTCAAAATACATAAAATACTTTGTGCCAGTCAACCTGTTTATCAAGGTGCTGATTTAGTTCAGACACACGTTGGAACGTTGGAGTGGAAAAGGAAGCGTGGATGAACGAGTAATAGAATGTGATGTGCTTGGTGCAATTGCACTTATTATAAGTGTATATGTCCTCTCTACTTATATGGCTCTCAATAGATTCAGTGGTTGGAGTTGGGTTAATATACTCCTAGTTCTGTTACTACTTTCTGATTACATTTCTGGCTACATTTAAAATCAAAACATATTGATGATTTAATAATTGTTGTAATGCTAAAATGTTTTTCAACTTCCAACTGGGTGTCCAGTGATTGATAAATAAACATCTGATTGCTGAATATTGTACCCTAATTGAAGTAGCTGTTTAGTAGGATCATGATTTTGCATACCATTGCATGAATGACTGCCTTACACATAATATTTTATTTATGATTAACAGTCAAATGGTTAATTAGTTAGAAACTAGTTGCTACGAACACAGGTGCCATCAGTTGTTTTCTTATGAATGACTTGTTTGTCATTGAGTCAATGTTGCTGATGCAAAGTAGGCCATTCGTTACCAAACACAAAGTAACTAAATTAGGATACAATTATGAGTCATTCGCAAACTGATAAACATTAAACTGTTGGTTGCTTTAAAACTAACCTTCATCTGGGAGATCACAGGGATATGCGAGTATTTGATCTGTTAACCGGTTGCATATGTCAGATTTATTGCATGACTCGGGCGGAGAGAAAAAAAAAAAAAAGTGTTGCTATCAAACATTGTTTACTTAATCAACTGAGTCAGTGTACTGGTGAAGAGATAGAGCAAATAGGCCAATTGATAGAAGGTTTGTGAAGAAATTTCATGCTCCCTTGTAAAAGTATTTAGTATTTTTAAAATACAAAAATACAGTGGTTTATTTTGATACTTGGTGTGGCTGCTGTATTTTGTAGTTTATTTTGATACACTTAAAATTAAGTAAAACTAACCTTCATCTGGGAAATCACAGGGATATGTGAATATTTGATCTGTTAACCGGTTGCATATGTCAGATTTATTGCATGACTCGGGCAGAGAAAAAGTGTTGCTATCAAACATTGTTTACTTAATCAACTGAGTCAGTGTACTGGTGAAGAGTTAGATCAAATAGGCCAATTGATAGAAGGTTTGTGAAGAAATTTCATGCTCCCTTGTAAAAGTATTTTTTAGTATTTTTAAAATACAAAAATACAGTGGTTTATTTTGATATTTGGTGTGGCTGCTGTATTTTGTAGTTTATTTTGATACACTTAAACTTAAGATATTTGGTATTTTATTTTAAAATACATTCGGGCAGAGAAAAGCTGTTGCTTTCAAACATTGTTTACTTAATCAACTGAGTCAGTGTAATGGTGAAGGGATAGATCACATAGGCCAATTGATAGAAGGTTTGTGAAGAAATTTCATGCTCCCTTGTAAAAGTATTTAGTATTTTTAAAATACAAAAATACAGTGGTTTATTTTGATACTTGGTGTGGCTGCTGTATTTTGTAGTTTATTTTGATACACTTAAACTTAAGATATTTGGCATTTTATTTTAAAATACATTTTGATGTATCTTTGCCCAACCCTGATCGTTACTATTTCGGAGTGTGCTGCACTCGCATCAGTGTGTGAGTGAACTTTGAATTATAATGATGAATAATAATCAATCACAAAACCTTTTTGTAAACCAGTTTGACCAAATGGATCAAAAGAGTGATCCATTCGTGAATCTAGCATCACTAGATCTGATTCTAAACAGAAAACACATACATGACTGCTGAAATATTATCAGGGAAAATGATTCAGTTCGCTATACGGTAACCTCCATTGTCAGACACTTTATCAGTAATATTTTTCTGGACCACAGCGGTATTTCACTTTGACTCGTGTTCTGTGCCCCAATAAACGGTTATAGCGACTCCCCAGAATATTTTGGATTACCTTTCGCTATCTACAAAATTGACAAAACATTTCTAATCGGTCTTAAATTGTTATGCTAGTAATATAATTTGCAAAAACAACCATATAAATAAAAAATAAAAAAATAGAACGATCACTATTGATCTCAGACTTTTGGGATATTAATATGGTATAACCATCTGATCAACCATCTGATCAAATTTGATTAATAGTCGTATACTATGTGATGTGTACCAGAAACATACAGGAGTAAAAATGATAAATGGACTTACTTGAGATTCCGTTAGTAGCTATTATATTTTGAAAGAGCTGGTATCTGTGACCTGTAGGGCTCAAAGTTTAGCTGTAAGTGTTGATCTTCCACAGCAGACAGAGTCTTTGAAGTGAACTACTTATAGTACTCAAGGTATTATCAAGCTCTAGGGCCAAACCATTAGGAAATCTTTGTTCTTCCGTCAAGTTACATATGTTTGGAATAATAATGAAAGGCTTACCCACTCAGAAGAGGTAAAATCGTGTGCCCCAGTGTGACCTAATACATAAAACAAGATTTTGCTTAAATAT